CATTTTGTAATATTTTTTCATCTTACAACACAGGTTGGGGTTATATACAGATTTCAGGTGAACTTCTGGCTTTTCTATGCTGATTCCGTTATTGGGCAAATATCCCTGGTCAGGTCAGTGCTCCGTGACATGATTTCAAAAGAGAAATCTTCTAAAATCGATCTGAATATAAGGGAGCTTCTAACATATTGTAGTGTTGTAGGGTATCACATGGTCGGTCCCGCACGACTATAGCCTTTGCTTACTTGTTTTATTAATATAATTGTCGGTAACACTCAAAATGAAAGATTTTGAAGACTTTTTGGTGTAAAAGGTAAACGTTTTTCCATTATTCTCCCCGAAAGAGGAAAATCTTGAATAGTATATGAAACGTAAAAAATTCGTCAGATATATGAAGTTTTGATTAAAAAATATTGTCAAATTTGACAAATTGTGCGTTTTGAGTACGAAAAGTCGAATACGAACTGTTGGATCGAATCAAAAATTTAAAGTGGACTTTTCGCTATCTATATTTGCCCCTACTTTCATAATCTGCTGGATTTCCCCCACAGTGTTTGCGTCCTTTTCTTATGACTTAATATTTTTAGTATTTCCTTACACCTTGGAGTTAAATTTCAAAGATTGAGGAATTTCCCAATAGACAACATATTTTTTCCATCATAACTTGGACATTTATTTGCCGATTGTCAATCATGAATCTTTATGAACCATATAAGAATAAAAACTATATAAAATGCCTTTGAGAATTTTATGGTCTTTTTAGAAAAATATATTGTTATTTATTTTATAGTTTTATAACGCATTAATCTAATTCTGTCTCCATGCGTACAAGTACAATGTGTCAGACGCAACAACATATTCGTAAATGTCATGTAATGTTGACATAACCTCTCCGCATTTGTTTAATGACCAAATGTTGAGCTCCCTTCCATTGCAGGCATATCCCCATTTTGAGTAACACAATTGTACAGTCAGGAGTAAAATTGAACACTTTTTTATTGTTATATTTTATTTTCGTCTTAAAGTTGTGTCAGAATTCTGTAAAATCTAACTTTATACCAAACAAATTAAAAATTTTATTAAATATTTTAAAATACCTAGTTTCCCATATCCCTCACTTTTCTTCTCCACTGTATTTCTAAGCTTGTTGTTTATTAATGTTGTAAACATTATTTTTCTACAGGAATTGCAGGAATTGTTAAATTTATTGCATGTCACCCACCTAATTTATTGGAAACTCACACAATTTTTCAACAACATTTGTAAAATAAAAAGAATTTCAAATAGAGAAATTGTCTCCGCTCCTCTTGCGCCGGCAATAAAATGCAATGGAATTTCCATGTTGTCTCTATATGGGCATTGAATGGACATCCTTTTCGGATGATTTCCTCAAAGTCTTTCCGGGCAATGCAATGCAAAAGATGTAACACTTTGGAAAATGAGGTCAAAGCCAGTGCATTTGTTTTCTATGTGTGAGTGTATTAGCAGTAGGTGTGCCGATTTTCACTTGAAACCTGTTGCGTAGGAAGATCAGGTTTTATGGTGCTAATAAGTTACTTTTAGCAAGTTATTTGGGGAAATTAATTGACAACGAAATGTATGTAATGAAAAAAAGCGACTAGTTATGATAATATGAATCATTTACATGAAGCATGTCATATCTCCGAAAGTCGCTAATTTTAACTATTAAAACATTGAAATATTTCGAAAAAAAAAACATTTGCACAAAAAACATAAAACTGGATGACGGTAGGTATATGGGATCGATATACAAATCTGAACCGACAAAGGGTACTTTTAGGTTGTTTCTAATACCTTGTACCGAAAACCGTTGATGTTTGGTACATATAGAGGCGTGTGAAAAATATATATAAAAGCTATAGCTTCATCTGAACTGATTTTCATCAAATTTGACATACTTACTTAAAAGCTTAATTCCGTTTCATCCATCTATCCTATTGAGCTTATCAGACAGTTGGTACATAATGATGCGCTAGATATCTCATGAAGAAATTTTCCGTTTCGGTCCAAGGTTCGACTCGATTCCAAATGTCGAATTTTGCAAAAAAAAAAATCATTGGAATAGGGTGGTTTTTTAGTCAAAGTATTTTAAATCCAAAAAAAAAAAACAAAAAAAAAAAAAACACATAAAATTCGGAAAAATGCTAAACAAGGTTAAAAATCGGGAAGGGCCAGCTGTTAAAATTATTCCAGTGACAGCTCATTATATTGTTTAAAAGCGTACAAATACATTCTGGCTGCAGACTATGGACATTCCAGCAGGACTCAACACCATCGCACTCAGCACGTGCCACCCAAGAAAGGCTACAAAATGAGGTTCCTCGCTTTATTTCCAGCGCACAATAGCCACCAAAATCTCTTGATAACAATCCGTTGGACTATTGTGTCTGGAGTATTTTGGAAAGCAAAAAATACCAAATTGTCGATCACCACAAGCAAGCGCTTCGCCGGAAATGAGCCAAAATACCGCAGAACAATATTCGGGCAGCGTTTGACGGTTTCATTGACCATTTGAAGGCCATAATTCGTGCCAAAGATGACCAATTCGAACAAATCTAAACTTATTCTAAAATTAGATGCTATTTCCGAAATTTTGTACCTCCATTCAATAAAATTAAAAAAAATTAAAAATTATGGAGTTTGATTTTGTTGCAGTTTTTTATCTCACCCTGTATGATACAATACATCACTATGTACATTAAGTAGAGCTACCTGTAAAAAAATTAAAATTTACATTGGTCATTTATGTGAAGTAGATCATACCTACTACAAACCTTTTTTGGCTTTAGATAAGTTAAATTTGGTTTCAGAGGGAACAAATATATGGGAGGTATATCCACTGAATGGACTTTCAATAAGTTTTGGCGGAGGTATTTGTACCTCTAGTTTCAACAATTTTCCAAATTTTAGATAAATCCGATAAAAAACCGAATATCGGGAGGTACCGTTATATATAGGGGCTATATCAAAACGTGGTCCTTTATATACTTTGTTCCGCTACAGGAGCTAGAACCCATTGCGAACTACAAATACAATTTTTTTTTTACAAATTGGTGAAAAAATGTGACGATAATCGTCAAAATACCGTATATCGAGTGGTACCGTTATATGGCGGCTATACCAAAACGTTGACCGATATATCTTATTTTCAATACCAACCATCCCAGACACAATACAAATTGTGGCAAATTTTGATGCTATACGTCAAATTATATGGGCGTTACAGACAGACGGACATCGTTAAATCGACTTAGAATTGTATGCTGATTGGGAATATATAGTTTATGGGGTCTACGACCAATATTTAGGGATGACGGAATGACAAATTTAATATATCCTCCTTTTCAAGGTGGTTGGTATGACAAGTAAAAAAGCAGCTAAGTTCGGTCGGGCCAAACTTTTAATACCCTCCACCATTTGGAAGGGAATTGAAAAATGTCAACAAATTCCGAAAAATACCATTACCAAAACCGATTCATATCTCAAGCCTATAAACCAACAGTTATACCAAATTTAGTTAAATCTAGTACTTCTCCAACAACAAGAGTAAACATTTTCAGAACCATCTCCATATCTCAATCCCAGATACCAATGGAGTCCTCAGTATCAAATTTAAGGATTCTAGCTCTAACTCTTCACCCAATAACCAAATTACTATCACTTAGTACTTTTCGAACAATTATAGTGCACTTTTCCAAGAACACCTCCATATCTTAGCCACAGACACCAACAGTTTTCAATCAAGTTTTAGAATGTCAGCTCCATTCCCAATACCAAGTTTAGTACTGTTTAGTGCGTTTCGTACAATTATAATTCACGTTTCCAAAACAACCTCCATATCTTAATTTCAGATACCAACAGAGACCTCAATATCAAATTTGAGAATTTCAGGTATATTCCTTCACCCAATACCAAATTTAGTTCTACTTAGTACTTTTCGTTCTAATATAGACGCATTTCAAAATCACCGCCGAATCTAAAACACAGATACCACCAATAATATAAATATCAAAATTCAGAATATTATCTTTATCCCTTCCCGCATTTCAAAATTAAGTAGCATTTAGTACCTTTTTAGTTTTAGTACAATTATTGTACACATTTCCGAAACCATCTCCATATATCCAGGCTATACATGAACAGCGAACCTAATACCAAATTTCAGACTTCAAGCACTATCTGTTCACCAAAGATACCAAATTGTACCAAATATAGTACTATTTAGTACTTTTTCACCACTTGTAGTACACATTTCCAAAACCACATCACCAACAGGGACCCCAATATAAAATTGCAAATTCCCAGCTTCATCCGTTCAACCATAGACAAACTGTTCCAATTTTAGTTCCATTTTGTACAGTTCGCATACACATTCCATATACCAACAAAGACCTCAATATCAAATTTCAGAATTTCAGGTCTCTCCCTTCAGCCAGTACATTCATATGTCAAACTTACTTTCCAAGCTTAATTTTCAAACAAAATCTCATTTTTAGGTCTATGCGTTCATATAATACCAAGTGGTACCAAGTTAAAGTTTAGTACCATTTTAAAAACTTTAAGTAAACTCAAACTTCGAATTTTCAAAATCCCTTTGGTTTATTTATCCTTCACTGCATCAGTGACTGTTATTCCTATTTTCAGAATTTCAGTTCATTCCGTTTGTATATATCCGTTTGTATATTATATACAAACGTAAAAGTATTCATAAAGTATTCAATCTTTAGTACATTTTAGTACTTTTCGTACCATTTGAGTACGTTAAGATGGTTATTTTACAACTCCTTTTATATATAGATACAAATTATATACTTCTGGTAATTCCCTCCAAACGACGAAATTTTTTTAAAATTTTGATTTCGACATACCCTTATTAAATTATGGCTTGGTAACTCGATAATCGTCTAAATGGTCATATGCCGAAGAGACCGACAGATACTATAACTTTTTTAATTTTTTATTTCATTTCTTCAATTTATATTCAAATTCCTTATATGTTTACAATTACAATTAAATATTTTGAGAAATACATACATATCAATGAAATATTCAATCAATAACTCCTTCGCATCTAGCTTTGCTCAAGAAATCAGTGCGTTGAACAAAACATCCGGTCATGGCACGTTTACCCGTATACGCGCAGCGTCCGTGGAACAAACGCCAATTGTCGAAAATGACCACAGTTCCAGGATTCAGTTTTAATTGCCACCAATTTTCCGAATCGTGAATAATCGAAAGAAATTCCCTCATACTCTCGTAGAATCCAGCCATTTCCGTCTGTGGTACGACATCGAACACCGAACGATCGTACAAATTCAAACGAAATTGAACGATTTCCTTTGTCACCGGATCCACACGTATTGTTGGTGCCGAAAAACGATGACGTTCGTTTTTATCAAAGAAATATGCCGGCACATGGACCGTGGAGAGGACTTCAAAAGCTTTGGGATTGCGTCTTCGCAACTCCTCGGCAACATACAAACCATCAATGAAGAAGTTTTCACCACCCGTACCGTCGTGTACAACACAGTGTAGGGCCTGCAAACCGGCTGCATCACAAAAATACGTATTATCTGTATGCGGGCCAATATAGTCATTGGAATAGGTAATGTCATCATGCAAATATACATCGGCGAATGTAAACATTTCCCCATAGAGGGTTTTCATTACCGGAAATAGACGGCGCACAGCCATTTCGGTCATCGTGGTGTTGGGTGGAACATCATGGATGAATACCAGACCGTAGCGTATCAGAGAACTCATTAAGTTCTTCACAGTTTTATCGGAGGTACACAATTCGCCAAGTTTAAAATCGAGCTCATTTTTATTCTTCAATATAGTAGCAACATTCCACTTCGTTATCGTCTTGTCATTTTTGATTTTTTCTTGGAATTTTTCGTATTGTGAGTTCACAATGAAATCAATTTCATATTTCGAAACATGTCCATCATTCCCTGAAAAAGATAGAGGAGATTATAAAGCGGAAACAATTGAAATGAATGTATATTTTAATAATAAGCGAAGTATAAAGGTAATTTTTAATCATCCCATCTTCCATTTTCCAAAAATTCGACACTAATTTATATATTTTTAAAATGTTTTCTCATATGGAGTTGTCTTATGTTTTTAAATTTACCTTCTGACTTTAGCCGCCAAATATGGTGGAGGCATTTTTATGTTGTATGTGACCACTCTCCCAAAATTTTATGGTATAGAGTTCATCTTATCACTATCAGAAGGCCTGAGTTAAAATCGGTTGAGTCAAATATATCTATATGTTAATATAAATTCGATATTCTTTCATTATGGCTGAATTCGGACATATGTGCCGAAATCCATCCGGTTTGGGCTAATATTCGGCAAGCAAATTACTTGTAGAAAATTTCAATTTTTTGGTTAATTTGAACTCCTAAATATTTTGCAATCATCTCCAAAAGCAAGAAGCCCCTCTGTATCTTCAAAATTGGGCTCATCTATATGATTTGCTTGTCTACGATATTTGGCTATATTCGTCAACGAAATCAGCATAAAAAGCCAGAAGTTCGCATTTTGTGTACTTCGGATATCGCCTATAACTAATGTTGGATTTTTTTCACACAAAAATAGTGGTCCATTCCACCCGCTGTCCTAAACTCTAGCTTCATGCGAGATTTCGTGTCCTTTGGTTCCCATTTGTGGCCTTTATAAAGGATGCACAGTCAGGGACATTTTTAGTTGTTGGTCCATTTCAATCTCTAAATATATTGTTGGCATCTTTGAAAACAATAGGCCTAGCCCTTCTGAGACTTACCCTACCCTTGTGAAAATTTTCGTGATATTCGGACGATAATTGCAATCTGTATATAATAGCCCCAACCTGTGTTGTAAGGTGAAAAAATATTACAAAATGTACACCTCAATATTATAAGTCAAATTGAAAAAATCGCATGCGATAAAAATATGAAAAAATAAAAAAACGTCACAAAATACAACAAAATCTATATAAACATCATTACTGGCATCTTTTTATACGATTTTTTTTTAAATTTTATTCTTTTATGCCAGGAGGGCATTCAGAATTGACAAAATTTGTCAAAATCGGTCCAGCCATTCTTGAGATATAAGCAGTTTAGCCAACATCCCCTTCCTTTGTTTATACACATTGTATATATTTCGCTATATATATCCGATATATTTACTATCGGCATCTACGTAACGGTCAGAATTGACCTGTTCGTCTTTTTGTGATTTCGCCAGGACTAAAAATATTCGCAGTTTAATGCAAAATTTTTATTTCACCCACTAAATATTGACCGATGACCATCAAAATTGGAAGGCTTCTGCCCACCCCTAAGCTCTAGCCCCATGCTTATTTCCGCGTCGATTGGTCCATTATTGCGATCTGTAGAGCAACTGCAAAATCAGGAATTTTTTCAGTTTTTGGTCCATTTCGACCCCTAAATATTATCCGATCATCTCCAAAAGAAATAGGGTTCTATTCTGACCTTAGCCCCACCTCCATACTAAATTTAAATTTGAAGATCGGGCCATAATTGCGACTTGTAGAGTGATTTCAAATTAACATGGACAGACGGACGGACGGACATACATAGCTAGATCGACTCAGCTCGGGGAGATAGGAAGATCCATTTATATACTTTCCTATGTGGGAAACCAATATTTCGAGGTGTTACATAATTTTTGGCCCAATCAAACTTATAATACCCCCAACACATAGTGTTGTAGGGTATAAAAAGCTGTAAGTTCAGCCGGGCCGAACTTTGAATATCATCCACCATATGCAACGATTTTGGCAAATTCCAAAAAAAATAAAATCTGTTAAAAATTATGTTAAAATCTTAACAATACCGAATGTAGCTGTTATATTAGGGTCTATTCGACGACGTGGATAGGCATAGGCAACTTTTGTCATAAGCCATTACAATATTCAAATGCGAAGCTTGAATAAAATTTCGGTGAAAAATGTCAACTTACTTAATTTTGTTCGGAAGCTAGATCGACATAGAATTTTATATTGACCAAGAATATATATACTTTGTGGAGTCTAACATCTATATTTCGAGGTGTTACAAATCTCCATACTATGGTGGAGGGTATTAAAAAAAACATGTTAAAAAGCAGTAAGTTCGCCGGGTCGAACTTTGAATACCCTTCACTTTTTGGAACGAATTTGGAAATATTCAAAAAAATAAATAAATAAAGACTAGAATCCACTGAGAATTCCCCTTAGGTCATAAAAATGACGAATACAGGCAGTTACCGTTATTTTGGGGTCTATACGAAGACGTGGGCCTGCAAAGGCAATTTTCTGTCGCAGACTGTAGTTCCCATTACGAGGTGAGAATACGAAATTCGAAACAACTTCGGAGAATAATGTATCTAAAATTATAAAAACACCGAATACAGGTAAGAACCGAAATTTAGGGGCTTAAAATAATTGCGTTGAATAATGTCGCTAAGAACAGCAAAATACTGAATATGGGGAGGTACCGTTATATGGGGCTATACAAAGACGTGGGCCTGCACGAACAATTTCAAAATCATAAAAATAAAGAATATGGGGTGGTACCTTTATATGGGGGAGATAGGAAGACTTGGAATTGCAATTGCAAATTTTGTGTCATAGGCTATAGCTATAGTTACGTCAAATACGAAATTTGAAACTATTCCGGTGAACAATGTCGTAAAATAATCAAAATGCCGAATATAGGGAGAAACAGTTATATGGGGGCTATAACTAAACGTTGACCTATATAGCCCATTCAGTGCCAAAAGTCCCACAGACGAGACACACATTTGAGTACAATTTGATCAACCTACTTCATTTCGATGTCTGTCCCTCTGTGTTAATCACTCTAACTTCCGAACGAAATGAAGAACGTTGATAACGTTTTGTCTGCGAAACTTTTCGTTGATAACTGTACTAACAAATTTTTTAAGTGTCTTAAAATTGGGAATATGTGCTCCCAGCATATAGGGAACTGTGCATATATGTCCAAGTTTTGGTATATATCCCATAAAACTGTTACTCCAGATATTCGGTATTTTGATGTTTTGTGTCACTCTTTTCAGCAGAATTGTTTCACTGCTTGTGAAATTGTTGTACTGCTTCCTATGACAGAAAATTGCCAAAATGCAGGCCTACATGTAGCCCCCATATAACAGTGCCTCCCCATATTCGGTATTTTTATGATATTAGCAGTATTTTTCAACCGATTTCTTTCTCGAAAATATGCGCATTCCTCCCAAATGGAAGGAACTGTTTATTCACTTGTTTTTGTGTTTTTTCTTCAATTTTTACGCACTTATATCGCTCAAGCAACATATTTTTTAATGTCTTTGATTTGGTATTACATTCGATTCCACTTATATCTTATTAGCACTTATTTGAATCCTTCCACTTACATGTTATTTCCAACAACGTATCATTCTTTAGATATGTCACATCCTTTGCCTTCAAATCCTTTGGCATGTCCACCAAACTAAACAATCGTTGCGATGTCCGCGCATTATAACACTTCTCGCAGCGGCAGTGGTCTCTCAGCCAATACGAATCAACTTTCAAGCAGTCTCCCTTCGAACCGTACTTGATATCCAACATTGTAGAGTTTGATGTAGTTTAGCGTGAACGACTTAATCGATATTGACAATAATACCGGATATTTATACTAACTCTTGTCGATATGTCAACGGTGATGTGGCCACGTAATTAGAACCACGATGGCGCATACATTTAAAAAACGGTTGCATTTAATTACTATATAAAATACCAATAACAAATCTTATTTTGTTTATGAAACCAGTCGGGCGGGCAGAGGGGGGAGATACGGGTATCATTATGTCAATTCTTCGTCGTCAATATGGAAACACCTGCTGAGGGGGCAAATGCGAATGCGATGCACTACATTTGTAAAATAGATGGAAAGTTATTTGTGTGTAATAATATGTTTGTCTTGTGTTTTGATATTTTTTTAAAAATATATTTTTTATCAGTCCTTTGTTTCTGGATGGAGAAGATGCTCCTCCGTTCCTTGGTGCTTTCATCTTATTTTGGAAGTTTTGTATTTTTTTATATCTCAGTAAATTAGTTTATTTATGGTTCGCATATAGTTCTCTCATTCGCCAGAAAAAACAAAACAAAATTAATTTGTAGGCCTCTTGGAACACCCTTTTATAATTTGTATATCCCCCTCCAAACTAAAATTATAATTAGATTGTTATTGAATTTCGAATAAAGCAAACAAAAAAGAATGTATAAATTTCACTACTTCTAAGAAAATTTGTTTACACAGTTGTCTTTCATCTTTTTATTAACAAGTGGGTTGATCACTACCATCCGCAATCGATTGAAAATAAATATTTAGATTAATTAAGTAATTATGAGTTCATTTTGGAACGTGTCGCAATTAAATTTGAATTGTTGTGGGAGAACGTACGTACGAGTTCACGTTAATGATTGCTTAAAATTGTTATTTATTGTTATGTCATATGAATTTCACGATATTATTTTTGAGAATGTAACATCATTTTCCAATTGGTATTTGAACTACGTTGTTCCCTCTCAAAATTGCGAATACGGATTATCAAGTTGTAAAATTTGCTTTTTGAAATTAAAGGATGATTTTTTATTTTTTTTCTTTTTTTTGGCAAAATTGTTTTTGTTATAAAACTCATGTCTATGCAGAGGGGCCTGTATCAATTGACGCATTGGAAGACAACATTGAAGAATTTATTTGTGAGATACCGGCCGAAATGTTGGAAAGATTGTATTAAAATTAGACAAAGCGTGAATTATCTTCGTATTAGTATTTAGAGTACACAATAAGCACTGCTGTCTCCGGTGGAGAATTAGCTATGCAGGTTCACGGGTCTTAGGATTTTAGAAATATTTTTCAGCCGATTTTTTAAATTTAGAAATTTCCCTGCAAATTGTGGTGTAAATTAAAATTTCGGCCCGGCCGAACTTGGTTGCTCTTTTATTCGTTTATGTATCTTGTACAAAATTATTTTTAGAAAATTTAAAGTCGATCCAACAATGTCGACCGGTCTCATGGGCGTCGCTCTCTTTTTCCAAATCGGACACCCCGATTTGCCTCAAACTTTATACATGATAATATTTGATAATAATAATAACAAGTAGAAAAGCTGTAAGTTTGCCGGGCCCAACATTGAATATCCACCACCATTTGGAACGAACATGGCAATTTCAAAAAAAAAAAAAAATAAATTAAAATAATAAAAAATAATTAATAATAATAATAATAATACTAATAATAAAAATAATAATAATAATAATAATAATAATAATAATAATAATAATAATAATAATAATAATAATAATAATAATAATAATAATAATAATAATAATAATAATAATAATAATAATAATAATAATCATAATAATAATAATAATAATCATAATAATAATAATAATAATAATAATAATAATAATAATAATAATAACAATAATAATAATAATAATAATAATAATAATAATAATAATAATAATAATAATAATAATAATAATAAAAATATGTGAAAGGCTTAAAAATACCGAATGTAGCCGTAACATTAGAGTATATACGACAACGTGGCCACTTTTGTCATAAGCGAAACTTGAAATAAAATTTGGGGGCTATACCAAAACATGGAAATGACAGAAAATTTTCTGTTGTAGGCTATAGTATCCTCTACGAAGATCAAATTTGAAACAATTCTGGTGAATACTGTCACTAAAATCATCAAAAATACCGAATATCGGGAGGTACCTATATATGGGGCCTATACGAAGACCTAGATCTGCATAGACCATTTTCTGTCATAAACTGTATTTCCCATTACGAACTTCAAATACGAAATTGGAAACAATTCCGCCGAATAATGTAGCTAAAATAATCAAAATACAAAATATCCGGATGTGCTCTTATGTGGGAGCTATACGAAGACGTGGACTTGCACATACAATTTTCTTTCATTGGCTATAGTACTCATTACAAACTTCAAATACCAAATTGGAAACAATTCCACAGAATAGTGTCGCTAAAATCATCAAAATACCGAATATCGGGAGGGACCGTTATATGGGGCTATGCAAAGGTTGGGGCTTCATAGGTTGTAGTATCCACTACGAACAGCAAATACCAAATTTGAAATAATTCCGGAGAATAATGTCGCTAAAATCATCATCATCAGAATATCGGGAGGTACAGTTATAGCACAAAATGGAACTATGCAGACCTTTTCCTTCTACAGGATGTAATGTCCATTACTATATCAAAATATCATATGGACCATATTCGAAGATTGACTATATCTTTTTCTCTCTTTTAAATGCTAATATTTCTTAAAATAGCAGAGATGGGCATAGTGCACTGTATTTTTAGTGCACTAATAATTTCACTATCACTGTTCATTTAGTGGTAGTGCAATTTTTAATTCCACTACCACTAAAGGGTTAGTGGTAGTGAAAAATAAATTGCACTACCACTAACCCTTTAGTGATATTAAAAAAAAAACGGCACTACCACTAAATTTTAGTGGTAGTGAAATTTCAATAGCACTACCACTAAATTTAGTGGTATTTAAAAAAACTTGCACTAAGTTAGTGGTATTTAGAAAAGTAATCAAATTTTATGACTATATACTATATATTCTGGATTGTTGTTCCCTACTCACTTCAATAAACTTCGTTATAGCTGGTATAATACTTATATACATAGTGCTTTTTTGGCTTCGCTAAAATTTAGTGGTAGTGCAATTTTTTTTGAAAAATCACTAAATTTAGTGGTAGTGCTATTAAAATTTCACTACCACTAAAATTTAGTGGTAGTGCAATTTTTGTTTTAAATATCACTAAAGGGTTAGTGGTAGTGCAATTTATTTTTCACTACCACTAACCCTTTAGTGGTAGTGGAATTAAAAATTGCACTACCACTAATTATTTAATTCTTAGTGCACTAAAAATTTAGTGCAATATGCCCAACCCTGTAAAATAGTAATAGTAGAAGTTCCTCGAAATCTCAAATTAAGGGTAACATGTCTGCCGTAAAAACGCAGACTGAAAATTGCTTACATGTGTTTTTATACCCTACACCACATAGTGGTAAGAGTATTATGTCTTGGTGCATTTGTTTTGTAAAATGGAGAAGGAAGCGAGATCGATCCATACTTACTTTTGAGGATCTTCATAGGATTACTTTCTTAGTCGATTTATGCATGTCAGTCCGTCCTTCCGTCTATCCATGTATTTTTGTGAACAACGATTGAAATTCCGATCGAAAATTTTAGCCCATGGTCTAACTCTAATGAAATTGGTGAGAATTGGATCAAATTTAGATATAACTCCCATATATATCTTCATCCGATTTCGGCTTAATTGTAAACCAAATAGGTAATATCAATCCAAGTGACCTAAATTTTAGATCATCCGACTGAATTCATCTTAGAAACATATATCAGATAGCCCTCATATATATCTTTATCCGATATCAGGTTTATTGTGGATTAAATGTCTAATTTTCAGCCCAAATCGACTGAATTTTTGCAATTCCTACTGCAATAGTCCTAGAAATAAGTACTTGAATGTACTCGTCCATAATATGCACTCCACTTTCGATATATATATATATATTTATATATATATATATATATATATATATATATATATGTATATATATATATATATATATATATATATATATATATATATATATATATATATATATATATATATATATATATATATATATATGTATATATATATATATATATATATATATATATATATATATATATATATATATATATATATATATCGAAAGTGGAGTGCATATTATGGACGAGTACATTCAAGTACTTATTTCTAGGACTATTGCAGTAGGAATTGCAAAAATTCAGTCGATTTGGGCTGAAAATTAGACATTTAATCCACAATAAACCTGATATCGGATATATATATATATATATATATATATATCCGATTTCAGGTTTTTTGTGCACCAAATGGCTAATATCAGCCCAAATGGACTGAGTCTTGGCAAATCCGACTGAATTCATCCTAGAAACAAGTACCTAAATTTTGGTGGAAATCTGTTCATATATAGCTATAGCTCCCATATATATGTTGTATCCGATTTGGTGTTAAAGTCCCTCGCATCCGTAATATGCACTCCACAACAACAATCTTTGGTGTCAGATATCAGATACAGCTCTGAAATAAGTGTTTAACATATTATCAAGATCGGTTCAGATTTGGATATAGCTCCCATATATAGCTTTATCCTATTTCAGTTTTTTTTGTGAACCAAATGGCTAATAACAGCCCAACTGAATTGCATTTTGGCGCTTCCGACGGAATAAAAAAATCAAGTGGTTCAGATATAACTATACCTACCATAGATATGTTTCACATGCGTGATATGCACTCCACAATAATGATATTTGATACCGGCATCAGACACATCTTCATCCAATTTCACTATTATTGCTCACCATATATGTAATATCAACCAAAATGGAATAGATTTTTTCATATTCAATCAAATTTTACCACTCGGTCCGGTATATCTATTATTACAAGAAAAATGTTTAGTATAATCCTTATATATCATGCAATGTTATTTGGTTCATAGTTGGTATTATCTACTTCAC